TCTGGGAGAACCGGGTTTGATTCCCCACTCCTCCACTTGCACCTGCTGATGTGACCTTGGGTCAGTCACAAGCTCTGGCACAGCTGTCCTTGAAAAAGAGCAGTTTGTGTCAGAGCTCTCTCAGCCCCACCCACCTCACAGGGTGTCTGTTGTGGGGAGGGGAAGGGAGAGGAGTTTGTAAGCCGCTCTGAGACTCCAAGTGAAGGGCGGGGTATAAATCCAATCTCTTCTTCTTCTTCTCCTCCTGTTTTAACTCACTTATTTAAGCCATTTTTCATTCCTTCCTCAAACACAGAACTATTCTGGGCTAATTTGGGACCGTCTAATTGTAAATTTGCATTCTGTCCTTCATCAAATGAGCTTAAGGCAACCCATATGAGTTTCTTCCGACTTTGCCCTCACAACAACCCTGAGAGGTAGGGTAGGGCGAGAGATAGTGACTGCAGTAGGGCCTGTGACATTGATGACGCAGCATTCCATGCCAGGGCAATTGGGTCATGTGTCAAGGGGGCCAACCCAAGCATTTCTCACTGGCAGGAGGCAGAGAGGGACGGACCCGAGGAGCCTCGCTCGTGGTCAGCAGCACCCCCCCTCCTTAAGCAGACCGGCTCCCCTCAGAAGTTCTGCGCACCTTTCAGTGGGGAGGGGTGTGTGACTCATCCCCTCAAGGTCCACCCCAAGCTGTCTGGGCCCCCAAGAGCCATGATGGCCAGAATAGTCCGTTGTCAACACAATGTGGCCCCTGCCACCCCATCCCCCCTCTTGCAGGCCACGGCCACTGCCGTGTGAAGACGCGGAGTCTGCCCTCTGTTGGTTCCAGGGACTCCACGAGGCCCAGTGACTGGAGGACCACAGAGGCCACTGTTGCCGTTCTCCTCTTTGGGGTCAGGAGGATGCATGTGGGGGGTCCACAGTATCCGCATGGAACTTCAGGGAGTAGGGACCGAGGCTCAGGGGGAGAGCACAGCGGACAGTCAGGCGGCGATCCCAGCTGGGCACTGGTGCCATCGCGCCTCCCTCTGCCCTCTGCCCAGAAGCCTGGCCACCCTTGTTCTCCCTGCCACTCGGCTCTGTCGCCTCCTGGGCCCTTGTCGGGAGGTGCTGGGTGTGTCAAAGGCGCAGCCTGTCCGTGGGGATGGGAGCGTGACGATGGCCGAGTCCCCCTCCTCCACGGGGGTGGGGAGCAGGGCCCGACGGCTCTGGCTGGTGCTGGATCTTGGGGCCTCCTCAGTGACCTTGGAGGAGGGTCCTGCGATGGCAGCCCCACTCTGGGAGTTGCCTGCGGGCTCAAGGACATCAGTCAGGGCCCCCTGGGGGCTCCATGAGGCTGCGGGTGGCAGATCCCTGACCCCACCGCTGGGGTTAGGCGGCAGTGGGGCCCGTGACACTCACCACACAGCACCTCGATGCCGCAGCCATCTGCCACCACCGGGGGGGGGGAATCACTGCCCACATGACGGCCTCCGCTTCGGGCAGACCCTTCTCCACCGCCTGCTTGTAAGGGACGCCTTTGGCCACGAGGGCTTGGACACCCCTCCCGGTGGGAC